GGAGGGGCTGCTGCTAAGGAGCTGGGAGCACTGTCTTGTGTGCGGGGATCTCAGGGAAGTGAATGTCTAGGGTTTCCGATTCTGCATGGCTGGGTGGACAAGAGACAGAGCAAGATAATGGGCAGGTGCCATCCCCGGGCGAGCTCAGGCAGAGGCGGCTCTTCCGCTCCCAAGTGCCCGGATTTGGAACCGCAGGCTGATCGAAGCACAACACCCAGAAGAAAGGCCCCTTGCTGACGGCGCGAACGCTGAATTCTCTCCTCTAAGCCCTCTTCTTTCACCTGGATGCTTCCAAACAGCGCCACAGCCATCTGCACATCCAGGCGCCCCGTCCACACACGCCCTGGTGGAAATGCGGGCTGCGCCAGCGGGCGTTTGTCGAACGTGTTCCTCCCCCCACGCTGCAGACGCTGTGTTTGGGAGGAGCGTGGCCCCAGGCACACACAAATCATCCGGAATGGGAGACGAGATGGGCTGGGGGGTGGTTGGTAACAAGAGGAGGCAGGGGTGGGGCTGGTGCACTCTCCCCGGCGGGGCCCCGTGCAGCTGCGCATCAGACCCTCCACAAGAGGAGATGGTTAGTGCTGTCGTCTCGTCCCACTGTCTCACTGCTGTTGGTGAGTCTGAAATCCTCATAGCCATCCCCGCCGCTGATCACCAGCATCTTGGACTTGACGTGGACCATGTTGGAGGACCTGTGCCTGGCCACATCTCTCTTTTCTGTGTCGCTCTGCTTCTCGGTACCTGGGGAACAGAACAAGCCCCGTTAGGCTCCAGAGAGACCCCAGCGTGTGCACGCAAAGGAGGCTGTCTGACAGGATGTGGCTAAGGGAGCCTGAGTCCCTCCCTATACGTGAGCTGTGATACCCCCAAGCCGGGGTGCTGACAGCCTGTTTGGGCCCAGCAAGGTGGGGCAGGCCAGCTCTGTACTCCTGGAAGGGGCGGGGACTCAGGTGGAAGGGGTAGAGCCGGGGGTGGCCAACCCTCCACACTGCCCTGAGTGTGGTATCCCTCCCCGCTGCCTCAGAGCTGCCCAAAGCGTGCCATGTGGCATTCCAGCGGCAATTTAAAGGGCCTGGGGTACTGGCAACGGACAGGATCCTTGGGCCCCTTTGAATTGCTGGGTCTCGGGGCAATCCGCCCCCTTTGCCCTCCCCATTGGCAGGCCTTCCCCCATGGAGCTTTGTCATGCATGGGTCTGCCCCAGGCCAGGGGGTTTAGGGGATGAATGATTTTTCAGGCTCATCCCAAGACCCTGTAAAAGGAGCCGATTTTCAGAACGGGCTGGGAACCTGAGCCCCACGTGCCCTTCGTCAGCTGCTTTGGAAAGCCTTGGCCACAAGAAACGGGCTTCTCACGTCACCTCTTCCAAGAGCAGCTGCTCTGTGCTGAGCTGACCTCCAGGGAGACTGAGGGAAGGGGCAGCTCATTCACAGGTACCGGGGAAAAGGGACCTTGTGACCCCCACATAGTCTGACCTCTTGCATAACACAGGCCAGAGAACTCCCCCAGCCCGTCGCCCGCCCCAACATTCCTAGAGCAGATCTCTAGAAAACACCCAATGTGGATTTAAATATGGTCAGTGACGGAGAATCCACCATGACCCTCAGTACATTGTTCCAGTGGTTTATTACCCCTGCTGTTAAAGCTGTGCCCCACGTGGGTTGGACGATTTTTCTAAGTGCCCTCAAATCCACATCCCAGCTCAGATTGTCTTGAAAATCGCTGTGCCTCATGGAGGTCCAGGGTAGGGTTAGTGGTCCAAATTTGGGGTCACTTGAGTCAGGGGTTCCTGAGATACAGTCCCACTAAAAGTAACATGGGTCAACATTTTCTAGTTCCTATAACATCTTGTATTAGAGGGGACTGGCCCTGCTTGGGTCCCATGGGGGAGTGGTGTTTGACACCCTGTATATCTGCTCTCTTCCCAGCAGGGATGGCTCCAAGGGTAATAAGGTACAACGGAAGGTGGGAAAATGGGGTCAGGGGTTCCTGAGATACAGTCCCACTAAAAGTAACATGGGTCAACATTTTCTAGTTCCTATAACATCTTGTATTAGAGGGGACTGGCCCTGCTTGGGTCCCATGGGGGAGTGGTGTTTGACACCCTGTATATCTGCTCTCTTCCCAGCAGGGATGGCTCCAAGGGTAATAAGGTACAACGGAAGGTGGGAAAATGGGGTCCGGCTGAGCTCCGGTTTGCGAGTGAGGACTCGGAGGGGGGGCACAAACCTGCCGGCTAGACACACCTGGATCCCTCGGCAGCGGAAAGAGGATATCAAAGCCGTCGGGCAGTTCGATGGAGGTGAGGAAGCGCACGTGGCCCGTGTGTCCCTGGGACAAACCCACTGGCGTCAGGGGCATCTTTAAGGAAGTGGTGTTGGCCGTTAGGGACAGAGTCAGCACCACCCCGGCACTGGTGCCAATCCAGAGCAAGTCCTTGCAAGCCAGCAGGGCGGTGATCCGCAAGCAGGCAGCCTTGTGCTGGCGGATAATGGCATCTGAACCTGCCAGAGGGACAAGGAGAGGACCAGGGGTTAAAGCACAGATGAGCGGAAGTACCGAAAAGTCCCATGCACGTGTGGCCAAAGGAGGTTATCGATCAAGCTGTTGGCAGCATCCACCTCACATGGGCAATAAACATATTTGCAGGGTGCGGAGTAGGAATCTTTTGGGCCAGGTGGGTGTAACCCACATGAACTGTCTCCCACGATAGCCTGAGGCGGCCTCCCTAGCTTCTCGAGTCAGGCTTCTGGGGGTGCAGGGATGACACACTGGCCTGTCTGCACCGGGAAATCAACAGGCGAGGTCTGCTATGGTCCAAAGGGAAGAGAAACAAGATGGCCCCATGGATTTTGGTCCCCTGGCTCCCTCCTCAAAGCAGCGTGAGTGTCTGCTGGAGGTCCAGCTTTGAAGAGACATGTCTGCCGTCCCAGTGACTGCCCTTGCTAAGCTTGTCTCTAGCCAGGGGAGCAAACTCCCTGGGAGGGACGAGGGATCAAACCTCCCAACGCATCCTGCTGGGATCTTCAGACCCCAAACCAAGGCCTCCCCTCGAGCTGAGCTCTCCCCCCCCACAACCCGGTCTCTATGACAGCGATGCCAGGAGGCAGCAGCTGTGCAGAGGCAGGCGCCCCTTGGTTTCATAGCTCAGGGCAGCAGACAGATGTTTGAAGGCGATGCCGGTACCTGCTAACATTTTGTGGACCAGGGGCGTGATATCGACTTCAGCCAGCTGCTCGTAGCTTGTGGCGTGGTACAGCCTCACCTGGGCGCTGCTCTGGAGCGCGATCCAGATCCCCGGGCTGCAGCTCACCATGCAGGTCACGCTGCGGTTGCTGTCCTGCCCAATATGGAACATGTGCTGGGGATAGAGAGGGGAACAGCTGTTGCAGGACAGGCTGAACCTCTCTAGTCCGGCACCTTGGGACGTGACTGGTGCCGAACCCACGGAAGGTCGATATTGTCCAGCAGCTTTACCAACACTTCCACTGCTTACGGGGCACTTAGGAGACATTGTGGGGTCAATTAGAGCTAACTAACAGCACAGAACACTGAGAGCCGGAACTGGTGGCTATAAACAAACTTGATGGGACTGCAGAAAACTTGGCCACACCCATGATAAGCGGACATCGGACAACTAAAATCATGCCGGACTAAGGATGCTGCTGGACCAGAGAGTGCCAGACTAGAGAGGTTCAACCTGTACATCCCTCTGCACAGGCAGCAGAACCAACGGGCCACTCCTCTTCTGTGCCATGCAGCGCTGAGCTTTCTTCCAGGTGGAATGTTCCCTGGCATAGCTCGCGCTTGTCATCACTTGCATTGCGGTCGCTCCCAGAGGGCCCCACTGAGAGCAAGGCCCCTTGGGGTGAGGTGCTGTCCTGTCACAGGCGCTTTGTCTCTGTAATCTGAAGAGACAAGGCCAAAGGGGAAACTGAGGCACAGAGCGAGGGCGTGATTTGCCCAAGGTCTGTAGCAGAGCGGGGATTAGCACCCAGATCTCCTGGCCACGGGACCAGGCTGCCTTTCGCATCTGTCAGTAAGAACCCAAGCCAGTCCATCAGCACAGCTCCAAACAGGCCAAGCTGTGGAGAAGAGGGCTGTCGTCCAGGATACAAGAAGAGGAACATAGGAACACGCTGCATTTCTGTAGCTTCTTCCATACGAGATGGCAGGTGCTTCACAGACTCCTCAGGGAAGGAGGCAAGCAGCTTTGGAAATTAGACCCCTGTTCTGAGCGCCGGAGACACTTTGGGGAAGGTTTTCAGAGGTACTAGACACCTCGTGTGGAAGCCAGTGGAGTGCTAGCCCCTTGAATAATCAGGCTCTAGCTCAGCAATGGGCAACCAAGGCTAGTGAGTGGGCCACTTGAGTGGCCCTCCTCCATCTCATAACTAAGACAGGCTCCCAGGGCAGGGCAGTTTTGCTAACTGCACTTGTGTACCTTAAATTTGCGGGGCGTGCGGATTGAACTGCAGCTGCGCTCTGATTGGATGCGGAGGGAGCACATGGCTCTCACTGTCAGGCTATGACTAGACTGCACAGCTTTTCCAGAACACCTCTGGTATCCCAGAAAAGCTCTGCCGCGTCCAAGGAACGCGTCCGCTTTTCCAAAAAAAAGTGTCGGAAAAGCGGATGCGTTTTGTCGGCATCTCTGGTCAACCTCGTTTTACAAGGAAGAAGGGATGTTCCGAAAGAGAGCTTTTTCCGAAATCTGACCCTGTGTAGACAGGCCAAATTTCGGAAAAGCCTCTTTCGGAAGTAAATCGGAAAAAGATATGCATTTATTTTCCGATCTATCTTTGTAGTGTAGAGACAGCCTCCGTGTGGTGTGCAATCAGCACACACCTCACGTCACCCGCCCTTGCTTTCCGCTTGTGTCATTTTAGCAACACTAGCAGGAAAAAACCTACGTGGATGGAAACCAGCGGAATCTGGCAACCCTGCGTGTGGGCAACAGTACTTACAATGTCTCGTTGGCTGCACACACCGTCCTGATGGGATGCATGCTTTAACCACAGGTTCACCCTTCCATCCCTGCCTTTAATCTCTTCTATACAGCACCCACCTCGGTGGTGACTAGTAGGGGCCGCTACTCCTGTGCAGTCCTACAGCATCTCCCCCGCGGTCATCTCCACATGGAGCTCTGCTCATAGGGTGACTCTCGTCCCACACAAGCTCTGGTGTGTCTGAGGCTACCATTCTTTATGGGTAAGGGGGATGGAAAGGGTGCGGCAGACCCAGTGGGACTGGTCCCTGCTAGGTGCATCCTCAGAGGAGCCCAAAGACAACAGGGCTTGGCCATGCACTGTCCTAGGGCAGAATATGGTCTTTTGGAGACTGGGGGTATGTCTACACTACCCCGCTAGTTCGAACTAGCGGGGGTAATGTAGTCATCTGCAGTTGCAAATGAAGCCCGGGATTTGAATTTCCCGGGCTTCATTTGCATGAAGCCGGCCGGCGCCATTTTTAAATGCCGGCTAGTTCGGACCCCGTGCCGCGCGGCTACACGCGGCATGGACTAGCTAGTT